TAGAGGTGCAGGGTCATGTTCTGTTGCTGCTCAGTCAAGGACCCTTCGTGAAACATGCCGTTGTGCAAAGGGAAGAGCCACTCCGCCGGCGCCACAGTGAAGAAGATTGACGGCAAGGCGGTTTCCATTGAGGTGCTCTTCTCGAATTCTTGGCGGCAGATGTCTTCCATCTTCCGTAACTGCTGCTGCCAGTAAACATCGAAACCGTCCATGTCGGACGCGATCTGCTCCGGTGCTACCTTCTGCTTTTCAGCAATGGCCTGCACGGAAGAGATGGTCTTGGCCATGCAGATGTCGTAAAGGAGACATTGCAGTGGAAAATCCCTGGCATAGTCGACGCAGCGACTCTCCAATTTTCGTAAAAAGCCCGTTCTGATGCTGGGCTTGTTCCTGGCAGTCGTCCACCCCAAGCTAACCAAGCGCTCCTGATAATCCGTGTCAGCGAGACTCGCTAGGGGGTATAGCCAAGGCCGGGCCGCCACCTCGACGGCCGGCGAGCTCAGCAACAATTCTGCTGTCTGGATCTCCGTCTTGGCTAAAACATCTCCGCCGAGTTCTTGAAAAAGACCTTCATGTCGATCAACCCACTGGCGGTAGGTGTTGTTGCTTTGCAGCAGCCAAGCGAATGCACGAGCAGCGACATCACTGCGAGGAACACTTCGAAGAGGTTGGCCTTTCCAACGACAGCGAGTGAGAGACCGTTTCTGTTTACTGGTAACCTCGGCTTTCCCTCCTCTGCGGCTGCGGAAGTCAACGTGAATTGTGAGCACAGCCAAATTGTTCAGGTCAGTCTCGGACAGCACCACCGTCAATGGCAAGTCTCCTGAAGCAATGGCAGCGGACCAAGAATGCCATGTGCTTTTTTGTGGAGTTGTGTACACCGTCAACTTCGTCGGGAGGATGTTGGCAGGGGCCGGCGCGAGCAAGTCAACTGCAGGCGGGTCGCAGCAAGGCGAGCAAGCTTGAGCATGACGCAAGTCTGAGATGGACCATCGCTGCGTCTTCGTGCGGGCTCGCTTGCGACCGCAGCTGGGACAAAAAGTCCACGAACCTTCCATCAGCCACAAGCCGCTGGCACTGATGTTGTCGCCAACTTGGCTGCTTCTCATGGCCTGGACTTGTGTCAAGACCCCGAAGTTGCGTTGATATTCCTCGCTCCAAGTCTGGTGCAAGACAGGAAGCTCGTCTTGTTGAACGGAAGGCCCCGAGCTGCGCAGCCACCGCCGCAAAGTTGGAGCGGGCACGGCACCGGCCAATGCCTGGTCGCCGTCTTGGAGCACACGGAGCACCTTCGTACCACTTCCTGAAGACAAGGCTTGAAAAACTTGCTGTCGGGGCGAGGCCGGCAAATTGCCCAGAGCACTTTTCCAGGATGGTTTCCGAGAGAAGCTGTGTTGAGGAGCAGAGGTCTGCACCAGTCGTTGAGCTCTCTCAGCAAGTTCCGGTCGCCGAAACCAGTTGAGCAATGTGGTTCGATGAAGACGGTACTTGGAGTTACCGGTCACCGTGAAATTCTCGACACTAGCTCGGATCTTGGCTGAAGCCTGGGCAAAGGACTCACTGTTCTTCAAAGCATTCACAATGATTTCGCGATCCTTCTGCAGGTAGTTGCTGAAGTTGCCCAACGGTGTTCTTTTGACTTCCTCCTGCTCGAAGCTTGGTGTACACTTGGCTTTCTTTACGTGTGGCTGCTGAGGAGCTTTCTCATTTTTAGATGACTTTGCAGGCTGCTCTGCTGCGACGATCACATCACTGTCCGAATCCTGGGATGAGGTCAAATCGAGGATAGGTCGTTTAACAGGAAGAGCTCGCCCAACGTCACCATCATGGTCAGCACGAGTGTAGCAAACGATGTAAACTTTCTCCCCTGTGGAAGCTGTCCCTTGTCCAGGGTTCGTAGCGACTTCCGAGATTGTAGCGTCGTCCAACCGCTGAAAACGATCTCCATGAGGCCGATAGGCCACATAGTGGCCAGTAGCCGCCGTTTCGCCGATGTGAGACACCACTGCCCTAAGGCGATAGCAAACATTTTCTGCAACTCGAAGCCTTTCGTCAGCAAGAACTTCGTGATTGAGAAGACCGTGCACGCCATCCCAGCGCTTGAGCACGATGATGAGGTTGTCTGGCCATGCATGAACCGCGGTGAGGCGTAGTGGCGGCCTGCGAGAAGTGCCTGCTCTAGTGCAACTGGAACTTGTGCATTCCCAGTGCAGAATATCTTCTTGCAACACTTGTTGATTCAAGTAGGTGTCCACAGCAGACTGAACCGACCGAAGTCGCTCAGCATTGTGAACCAAGGCAATCTGCAGAGTCAAGAAAGGCTCCGCTGGGAGTGGACGGCGATATTCGCATGTGGTGCATGCGAGACAACCGCCTTCTGTTCCTTGCAGTTGGCTATGAATCGTAGGGCAATCCACGAGAAAGTTAGCGATGAACTCCGCAGCATCTTCCTGGTGTCCTCGATAATACAAATCCAAAATTGGCTGGGGCACGGTCGGCGAAAGCGATGCTGACACCATAGAACGAACCTCCAGCAAGGCTTGTTCCGTCGCCGTAGTCGACCTCAAGCTCTCGAAGCCTGGCAACGCCAGGATCGCCTGAAGTCCGGCATTGACGAAGCACGAGTTGCCTGTGTTCGCAAAGGTCATGGTCGGCGAGCGAATCTAGCAAGGTCGGCGAGTGAATCTAGCAATAGGAGAGAACCAAAAGCTGCAATTTACGTTGTGGCAATGTTGCAGCAGGCACACTAACAAAGCATTTCAAAGCAACATGCGATGGCATCCTTGTTTCGACTGGATGACGGCAACACTTTCGGGAGCCGAACGAGAAGCCACTTCAGCACCTACCGTCTGGTGGTATCTCGACTCGGAGCAACAAAAGCTTTCGGGTGTTGCTGGTGAGCTGCACAGGGTCGACTATTGTGTTTTCACAGTACTGTACGCAAACTACAGCTCATGGCTTACACACACTGCGAACGGCACCCCTCGAATTGATTGCGCTTGGCAATCGATGATCAGGCATCAAACAAACCAGAGGGAGTCGAACCGGCAACCTTGCTGCCAAGCCCTTCCTCCGGCTTTTGCATTCGGGCTTTCACTGCATTCACAAAGTCTTGCTCCGACATTGGCTTGCAAGTCACGGCTGAGCGAGCCACCAACTCTGCCACTTGACCGGAGTAGTAACTGTTCTTACCAGACAAAACAAAGAGAAAGCCTCTGAACGCACTCTTCTCCTGAAGCAACCAGTTGCGAAACTTCACTGCCGCGTCTGCCGGATCGACCGTGGAGCCTGTGGCACTCACGTCGGCGGAGGTTGTCAACTTGGCTTTTTTTGCTGCCCGAAATGAACCTGTGTCCGTTGCACTGGCTGAGCCCTTGCCGAAGTTGAGGGCCAACAAGATGGGTTCCAGGGTTGTAACCTCCAGCAGCACCTTATCATACAACGTCGGGACGATAAGATTTTTCATGTTCGGGCTCTTGAAATTAGCGATGGCGGCCAGGAGCGCGGCCGCGGTCATGCTGATGCCCGCGCCTACATGCCAGGCGTCTGAAGATTGATCGGCTGCCAAGTGAGAGTGGTAGACACAGCTCTTGTTTCCTTTGGAGGTGCCCGCCCACACCTGCTGAAGAGTGAGAGAATCCAATCCGTTCTCTCCGTATGGTTCCAACATTTGGGCTGCCACGGAGTCGTAACTGAACAACTTGACTCTGCGCTCCTTCTTCTTGTCTTGCTCGACGGGCTCATTGTCAACTTGTTCGAAAAGTCCGCTTGCCATGTTAAAGCGAGAAGGACTGGCAGGAGAGCAACTAGCACACGACTTGGGTAAAGAGCTGCAACAGTTTCTTCAAGCGAGTGCGCAACAACAAGGTCACGACATGCATGCAACACTTGCAAAGTTAGTTTTCTGTCACAGATGCCTGCGTATGCTTGCATGTTAACTCAACACCGGAGAGTCTCCAACCCTCGGCGTGGCAGCATTGTACATTGCAACACACTGTAAAGATCGCTTGAAACATCACCCCTCTGCTCCCTTGCCGTGGGAAGCTGCAATCTGTTAAGATGCCAAACCTGAGAAAGGTTTAGGAATCAAACAAGCCAGATGCACTTGAGCCAGCAACTTTGCTGCCAAGCCCTTCCTCTGGCTTTTGCATTCGGGCTTTGACTGCATTCACAAAGTCTTCTTCCGACATCGGCTTGCAAGTGACGGCTGAGCGCGCCACCAGCTCGGCGACCTGACCGGTGTAGTAGCTGTTCTTGCCAGACAGCACGAAGAGAAAGCCTCGGAATGCGCTCTTCTCCTGCAGCAACCATTTGCGAAACTTCACTGCTGCCTCTGCCGGGTCCACCGTTGAAGCGATTGCATCCGCGGTGTTGACCGACGAGGTCAGCTTGGCCTTTTTTGCTGCACGAAACGAACCTGTATCCGTTGCAGTGGCTGAGCCCTTGCCGAAGTTCAGCGCCAACAAAGTCGGTTCCAGGGTTGTAATCTCCATCAGCACCTTATCATACAACTTCGGGACGATAAGACTTTTCATGTTCGGGCTCTTGAAATTATCGATGGCGGCCAGGAGCGCGGCCGCGGTCATGCTGATGCCCGCGCCTACATGCCAGGCGTCGGAAGATTGATCGGCTGCCAAGTGAGAGTGGTAGACACAGCTCTTGTTTCCTTTGGAGGTGCCCGCCCACACCTGCTGAAGAGTAAGAGAATCCAATCCGTTCTCTCCGTAGGGTTCCAACATTTGGGCTGCCACGGAGTCGTAACTGAACAACTTGACTCGGCGCTCCTTCTTCTTGTCTTGCTCGACGGGCTCATTGTCAACTTGTTCGAAAAGTCTGCTTGCCATGTTAAAGCGAGAAGGACTGGCAGGAGAGCAACTAGCACACGACTTGGGTAAAGAGCTGCAACAGTTTCTTCAAGCGAGTGCGAAACAACAAGGTCACGACATGCATGCAACACTTGCAAAGTTAGTTTTCTGTCGCAGATGCCTGCGTATGCTTGCATGTTAACTCAACACCGGAGAGTCTCCAACCCTCGGCGTGGCAGCATTGTACATTGCAACACACTGTAAAGATTGCTTGAAACATCACCCCTCTGCTCCCTTGCCGTGGGGAAGCTGCAATCTGTTAAGATGCCAAACCTGAGAAAGGTTTAGGAATCAAACAAGCCAGATGCACTTGACCTCGGCCTTGATAAGCACGCTCAGAAGGATATCATTCTAGATTTCCGAACTGTGCAGGCAGCGTCAGTCCTCTTCATCGGACTTCTCCGTGCTCTTCTTCTTGTAGGGTCCTCGAGTTGCTCGGCGAGGTCGTGCCGGGTTTTTGCGCTGCCGAGATCGCTGCACTTTGAAGCGATAGTCCGCCTCTGCCGTAGATCCCAAAGTATCTCGAATGTATCCAAAAGCATGTTCAGCGACACCTGCATCGAGCTTGCCGAGCAAGTGCGTCAATCGACTTGACATGGACTCGTGGAGTGTGGCCATCATTCCAACGTCGCACAGATCGCAGGCACCGTTGGGTGCAGCGGGTGCAGGCGACGAGAACTCACCGAAAACGCAAGGCTGGCTGCCGCGGCCGCAGCAAGAGCCGTTGCCCGCATGTGCTGCCCACTGGTGGGTTAGACCTAAGCCTCTTGCGGACATGCGCGAAGCAGGTCGCTTCTTCGGTGCCACCTCCACTGCTCCGGTTGTCTTGGGTTCGGTCTTGACTTTGCGCTCAGCCGGCGGCTTCTTCACGGTGTGCCTCACCGAAGGCTTCTTGATCGTCGGCTCCGGCGCCTCCTTGGTCGGCGGCTTCGGGGTCGTCGGCTCGTCGCAAAGGTCGATGACCGAGGCAGCAGCTTGCAAATGCTGAGAGAACGGCATGCCGTCGATGGATATGAAGAAAGAGTCAACACTTTCAGCCGAAACAACTACAAAACATGGTTTGTGCAAGCACCAGTGAGGCTGAAAGTAACACCGCGAACAGAAATAAAAAATGCATGGCATGCATGCCTTTGCTAGCTTGTCAAAGTTCGAGCGTTTTGGTTTACAACTTTCTTGTTCCTTGCTTGCTTTTCTTTGTGCGTCTTTGAGCTGCGGCAATGTTGTTGACTGACTCATTCAAGCAAACACCTTAGCACAATAAGGTAATCACGACTTCCAGAGTTAAAGCAAAAAATGAACCAGGGCTTGCTCTCATAGAGCCACATCTCTAGCTTATTCAAGCCTAGAACATGTCTCTTGCGGTCAGTGCTTGTCCGCGAGTTTGAATGAAAGGTACTGCAAGAAAACGCCATCGTTTTACGATAGCAACCACCGCTATCATATCAAGTTTCTTTGCGATGACCGTTCAGCGACAACCCTGGCCAATCCAAAACGCACATCGGTGACGTCTATGTGCGTTTTGCTCTTGTCTTCAAAGACACGAGAACTGCTTTGCTAGGGTTTGCTTTTGGTGTGCTGCAGCTGCGGTCACGCCATCGTTTTATGATAGCAACCACCGCTATCATATCAAGTTTCTTTGCGATGACCGTTCAGCTGAAACCATTCACCGCCAGACCTCCAAAGACCTTTTCGCGCGCGCGCGCGCGCGCGTTGTTGGGGGGTCAGAGGCAGCAAAGCCGAGCTTCGCCTCCGGGGGTCAGGGCCTCGCCTTACTCCTCCAGGCCGCTGCTTACATGTCGCCAGGCTCTTCTTCAGCATCTCGCAAAAACGCTTTTTTTTTGAAAATTGCAAGAATTTTCAAAGGCTTCCACGATGACTGCTTTCGACGACAAAGTGAACTTGTGGTGCTCACACATCTTTCGCTGCAAAGCAACTAGTCACATCCCTAAGCGAGATGCGAACTCCAGCGAAACAAATACTCAATGCAAACATAGCTGGATATGCAACTACATCGATCATTAACGGCCTTGAAGTGAAGAACTCTACATCATTTGAAGTTCTTCAGCGACTTACATACGTGCCGAAACAAACTCACAGCCATCCAAGCAACAACCACGCAGAATCAAAACGACACGCTCCGCAGAATCACTCTCTCACACCCCGCGGGCCCTCGACCGGAGGAGCCTACCTCATTTGAGCTCCTCTGTCTGTTTGCGGCCCTCCCGAAGCCCGCTGGAAGATACCAAAATTTTGTGTTTGAGGGCGCCCGCGCGGGCAACGCAGAATCAACCCTACAACAGTTCACGCGGACCCTGCAATCAAAAGGGTAAGCTCGGGAGTGGGTTTGCGGACATAGTTTGACCTCCCCTGTCCATCTATGGCCCTCCCGCGGCTCCCCTTGAAGAACAGTTTCCGCATGAAGGGTCGCAGAATGCAGAATCAATCTGACACAGTTCACGCGGACCCTGCAATCAAAAGGGTAAGCTCGGGAGTGGGTTTGCGGACATAGTTTGACCTCCGGTGTCCATCTATGGCCCTCCCGCGGCTCCCCTTGAACACCAGTTTCCGCATGAAGGGTCGCAGAATGCAGAATCAATCTGACACAGTTCATGGGGATACTGTAAGCCTTCAGGTGGGCTCAGGAGTGGGTTTGCGGACATAGTTTGACCTACCGTGTCCATCTATGGCCCTCCCGCGGCTCCCCTTGAAGACCATTTTCCGCAGGAAGGGTGTGCGAATGTGATTCTGCATTCTGCTACCCTTCATGCGGAAACTGTTCTTCAAGGGGAGCCGCGGGAGGGCCATAGATGGACAGGGGAGGTCAAACTATGTCCGCAAAGTCACTCCCGAACTTACCCTTTTGATTGCAGGGTCCGCGTGAACTGTTGTAAGGTTGATTCTGCGTTGGCCCCGCGGGCCCTTTCAAACACCAAATTTTTGGTTTGAAAGGGTATCTTCGGGAAGGGCGCAAACAGACAGAGGAGCTCAAATGACGTAGGCTCGTCCGGTCGAGGGCCCGCGGGGTGTGACACAGTGCTCCGCTGAAGGGTGTCGCCTTGATTCTGCGAAGGGCGTCGTTTTGATTCTGCGTGGTTGTGGCTTGGATGGCTGTGACTTCGTTTCGGAACGTATGTAAGCCGTCGAAGAACTTCAAATGATGTAGAGTTCTTTAGTTGACGTCGATTAAGAAGCGATATGGATCGATGTTGTACACATGTCATGATGTGTAGCACAAGAAGCTTCTTTGTCGTCGAAAGCAGTCATCGTGGAAGCCTTTGAAAATTCTTGCAATTTTCAAAAAAAAAAGCGTTTTTGCGACATGCCGCAGATGTAAGCAGCGGCCTGGAGCAGCCCGAAAGGCCCTGACCCCCGGAGGCGAAGCCCGGCTTTGCTGCCTCTGACCCCCCAACAACGCGCGCGCGCGCGCGCGCGAAAAGGTCTTTGGAGGCCTGGCGGTGAAGGGTTTCAGCTGAACGGTCATCGCAAAGAAACTTGATATGATAGCGGTGGCTGCTATCGTAAAACGATGGCGTGACCGCAGCTTCAACTGTTGGAGGCAATGTTGTCAGGCAGTGGACACAGTCCGATGTGGAAACATTGAAAGACATGAAATCGAATTCGATAGCTGTTCTAGGTGAGGAGATTCAAGTCATGACACTGGAAAACCGCAACACTAGGCTCTATCCTCTAACGCCACCCTAAGCTTATCCCCGATGCACCACCAAATTCACCCTGCGGACAGAATGCTGTCGAGGCAGGCCGAACAACAACATTCTCGTGCTGGCCTTCAACTGGGCAGTTAAAAAAGGCATGATTGCTATCGTAAAGCGATGGCGTGACCGCAGCTTCAACTGTTGGAGGCAATGTTGTCAGGCAGTGGACACAGTTCGATGTGGAAACATTGAAAGAC